TAATTTGTAATGACCGACGTATGTTGTATTATTTAGCATATTGAGAGTACATGTTCTAACGAAAAGCACAGACATGCGTTTGCCGCCGATATTCTGTGCTGCATGACACAGCTGCGAGGAGTACTGCTCATCAATGCATTTCCGCACGCTTCCCGTGTGCTTCCTCGGGGGAATCCAGTTGTGCAGTTTCAATTCCTTCGAAGTCTTCAATGCGTAATTTTTAATAGGGATTAGAAATACGTCAGTCGGAGCGAAGCTTAATGGGCGTAGTCTGACAATTGATATGAAATTATGAGCCAAAATCCCTTAGCTGAAGCGGAATAAGACAGTCATGTTCCTAAACTACCAAAATGCAGCCAGTATTGATTGCCGAGGAAACGTCCTAAAGGTAGTAAGATACCAGCAGGAAAAAAATATAAGATGTAAGATGCGAAGGCTGAAACCCAGGTTTGGTCAGTATTCCCTATGCTGTCGATATAATCGTATTATAAAGGCATATTTTTGACAGGTTCGAAGTCGTGTGTGAACTACGTACACGTATACGTAGGGATGTCATTCACTGCTTCTCAACTCTTTCATTCAACTGTGTCGGGTGTCGGGCTAGTTGAATGCATCGCAGTTCGCTTCACAAAAAAGGACTCTCACGCAAGCCATCCTTGCAATCTATTCAGAAGATTACGGTGCTCATCAATTAGTGTTGCAAGGCTGAGGATCAACCCCAAAATATATTGTCAAATGTCATTCCATGGTGCCAAGATACTACTAAGTACTTCTTCTGCATGACAACCCACAATACACAAGAAAAATGACTTCTAAAAAGTCGTTTATATGCACCATACTTAACCACGCACGACTCAAAATTCGTAGCATGGGGAACATCGGCATTAAAAATGGCCATATGTACAGTGTGTTGGCCTTTGCGCCCTGGCTTTGGGAAATAACGGGACAATCGCCTACTGAGGTATTCATGTCATTCAAACAATCATTCATTTCATTCATACATTCATTTGCATGGTCAGGCAATCGTTTTGAGTAACTCCTTTGCATTCAATGACCCCGATCGAATTAATGAGCAGCCAGCGGTGTGCAGAGTACAAACATTGCGGGTTATTTGACGCCGCGAAGTCGCTTTCTGCATGCATACTTGCTCAGTTCATGCAATTGTCCACACAGAGAGTCTTGGTTGCGCATGCAACTCTCGACAACGTTGCGCGAGTAACGGTCTCCTCTGAATAGCCATCGAAGGTATCGAAAATTTCGATCAGATTCGGAATAGGCCGCACACGGATACTCTCTTTTTCATTCACTCTCTCTTAGCCTTGCCTTGCAAATCAATCACACATGGATTCGGGTGAATTCTGCGCTCGACTGGTAACTTTAAATAAAACTAATTCTACCACAAGGTATGTTTCATTGCCTGTGATGAACAATTTCTCGGTTGCTTACATAAATATCTAGTTTCGATGCCGGCGAAATAAGTTCTGATGGCCAAAGGGTTTTGAAAATACAGCTATCTTTTTCCTGGACACTTAGACAAATTGGCATTCTATGGTACTAAATACTCCTAAGATTTCCTTCCATATAATTTCCCAATACGGGTCAGAAAATAGTTTTCTAAAAAGTCTCGAATGTGCACCCCAAGAAAATAAAGGAAATAAGGGTGTTATTGTAACCGAGAAGGGACGGTGTCGCTCGCTCTGTCTGCAAGACAGACTCTTCATGTATTTCATGTTGGCTCGCAGTTCAACACTCTGACAACCATGAAATTTGAAGTGATGGCATTAGAATCAATAACAAAATTGTCAACAACAAAAACAACAAATGCCATTTCCTTGTTGTCATATGTGCTTTCTTTAACTGCAGCGACTGTGCATTCAGCACAGCATCGAAATCTCGACCATCTAAAAAATTGCACACTCACAGTGTCGTGGGCTTTGTTCACATGGCTCTGGGAAACGACGGAGTTGTCGCCTGCTGAGGCATTTATTTGCGATTCAGTGCTTTGGGCAGGCAAGCGAGACCGGTAGCGACTGAGAACCTTGTGTAAAAAATGAAAATAAAGCAATGTTGAAACCTCTTCGTACTTCGCTAACCGTCGTGACATGCTTGTGTAACGCAGAATGCAGGCAAATTAAAAAACGACCTCGTGGGTGAAAGGGAAATCGTTTTGAAACAGAACAAGCTTTCGCATTATTGACATCATGCAGCGTTCCCATGTCTGCTGTGATGCTTCACATCGCGATTGTACGACCGGATTGACTGGCACTGAGCCGGGATCTGGTCCCACGACAGACTCAAGAAGAGGAGAAGCAGGAGAGGACGCAGGTGGCTGGCACTTCGCAAACCCGCGCTTAAGCGTGCCCCAAGCTTCCTAATCAACAACGTACATTTCGCCAAGTTTCTAATACAAAAGGTAGATATAGGGTCAACGGGAGAGATCCCAGTTCCCAAATATGGCCCTGTGGGCAATATGACTGTTTCGTCGTTTGTTTTGTTTAGATCCACTGCGCCCTCTGCAGTAGGATCATGCAAGGACGGTGAAGAAGGTGTAAATTACCTTCAATTAATAGCAGACTTGAGATGCATTTAATACTCTCTCTCTCTTTTTCCCCCACCCTTCAAACTAGGTGTCAACATAAGCTCAAGAAAACCCCAAAGTGCGCCTGGGCGCAGTGCACTGACTCCGCGTGAACCACGTATGCGCGTCAACTATCATAAATGCGAGGTATTGGTTTTGGGGCGGCAACCCAAATAAGGGCTTCTTTGTAGTGATCTGACCCCCGAGTTGGTCCAGCGCATCTATGTCCTGGTCCCTTTGGACGAACAGATGCTGACATGCATGACTTACAGTTTGACTATCTTTGAAAATCGGTAATGATGTCAAGAAGTATCGTGTTTGAAGAGGGTAAAGCGATCTACAATAGAATATCGTCTGAGAAAAGTATACATCTGGTGGTTCTGTATTTTTCAATTCCCATAATAGGGATTAATTTTTAATTTTTTTTTCTGCATAAAACTACATGCGACTACTCTAAAATGAAGACCCATGACCGTCAGAAGTAATGATGGGTGAAAGAACTGCAAAGGAATTAAACAACGCTTACGTCGTCATACTCAATCTTCGACTGGCCGTCGCGAGCATAAGTTGTGTGTTCATGGCATCCGGTTGCGGACGAGACCCCTTGCCGAATGTTACCAGCGTGGTCCACAAGGGATGATTGTTGCTTGAGAACCTAAGAAAAAGACAAACAAATGAAGTCGCGGCGCAGTGCTTCGAGTCACTCTGGTTGTGTAGTGTCCCCAGGTGAGCGTGCAAAAAGTAGAGAAGGTTAACGCGAATCGACCGTTGTCAAACGAACAAAAACAAAAACAGTCAAACACTGCCAAAAGGGCAATGAAGTCCTACATCATTAGACTTGCATTCATTAAACTGCTCCGCCAGTCAAATAAGGGTAAGGAAATACGAACAGGAAATACGAACCACGCAGTCAAGTAGAATGCTAGTGAAGTAAGAAATCACATAGGTAATGAGAGACAAACACCACTGGTGTAACCTGCATAGAACTGAAACCACAACGACCAGTGTAGAGTCATTCTATCGCATAGCTTATGCACCACTGCAGTGAAATGGCAATAGTACCAACCAGATGAAGTGGCAACCCTAAAAGTCTGCCAACGAGCACAAACAGCTCGTCGTTTACCTAACACCTTCCACGCGGTTCGGCACATCACATTCCCTGGTGTGCTCAACACATCGGAAGACATATTGTCTCATCGTAGCAGACCGATAGTAGACACGCTAGCAACTGTGACATAATGTGAAATGAAAAAAATGGCACTCGAAAAAAATGCCAATAACATTTAAAATCACATAGGCATCAACAGACAAACATCACAGGCGTGGACATTAAATGCAAGTGTCTTAGAAAACGAGGACAAGAATAGATGATACTAAGTCGCGGTCTGGACTCATGTTCGGAGATTCGATTTTCGACTTTACGCAGATCATGTTTGCCCTGTGATAATGCCTGGCTGTGTATGTCGTAGCCCTGCTCAACTGACCAAGATGACAAACGGCCAGTGGTCTAGGAGCCACAACATATGTGGCACTTAAGTTTGTCTATCGTACGCCGCAAAGTTTCCGTCAGCATGTGAACTAGCTCAACCAATTTCACTATTTCTATTGCGCGGTGATAGAGCATAATTTCGCTGAATTTGTCCCGGGATTGCATAGGTAAAACATACAACATCCAGCAAGATACATCTCAGGCAATCATAATAAATGCTCGCAGGCGGTGGGTATGGAAAGGACGGTTTCAATCCCCAGGTCTTTTAGCGGCGCAATACCCGCCTTCCCTGCTTCGCCCAGATATCAGCCCTTAAAAATGGAGGCTGAGGATCAACCTCCAAAAGCTACTGTCAAATGTCATTCCACGGTATCAAGATACTAGTTAGTATTCCTTCCACATAATAACCCGCAATAGATAAGAAAAATGGTTTCAAAAAGTTGTGAATGTGCACCTGACTTTAAGATGCACAAATCAAAATCCGTAGCATGGAGAATATCGGCATTAAACATGACCATATCTACAGTGTGTTGGCCTTCGCCCGTTGGCTCTGGGAAAGAATGGGGCAGTCGCCTACTGAGGTATTCATTTCCGATCCACTGCTTGGTCAGGCAATCGTCTGAAGTAACTCCCTTGCATTCCATGGCCCCGCTCGACTAAACGAGCAGCCAACGGTGTGCGTGTGGTGCACACATTGCGGTGCAAAAGTGGTCATTGGACGCTGCGACATCGCTTTCTGTATGCGAATTTCCTCATTTCGTGCAACTACAGACATTCTTGGTTATGCATGCAACTCCCGAAAACGTTGCAGGGGTAACGGTCTACTCTGAATAGCCATCGAAGGCATTGACAAATACGATCATGTTTGGAGTAGACCGCACACGGATTCTCAGTTTTTTTCAGTCACAGTCTGCTTTGCAAACAGGTTACACTGGGGTTCGGGTGAATTCTGTGCGCTACAGCTCGCGTAAAAAAAGTAATTCTAACGCAAGCTACGCCTTATTGCCCGTGATGATCAAATTATCGGTTGCTTATATGAATATCTGGTTTCGAAGCCGGCGAAATGTATTCTGAAGGCCAAAGAGTTTTGAAAATACAGCTATAATTTACCTGGACACGTAGAACAATTTGTAGTCTATGGTATCAAAATACACCTAAGATTTCCTTCTATATAATTTCCCAATATAGATCAGAAATATGTTATAAAAAGTCGTGAATGCGTACCTGAGTGTAATCAGGGAAAAGGCTGTTGTTGTAACCGAAAAGATACCGTTTTACTTACCCTGTCTCCAAGACAGACACTTCATGCTCTTAATGCTGGCTCGTATTTCAAGACTCCGACGACCACAAACTTTTAGGTGACAGTATTAGAATCAATAGCACAATTGTCAGCAACCGCAAAAGATATTCACTTGTTTTGTTTATGCTTTCTTCACTTGCAGCGACTGTGCATGCAGGAGATAAATTATCGCAGCATTTAGAAAGGGGACAATAAACAAAATTGCTGACTCACAGTGTCGTTAGCTTTGCCCGCCTGGCTCTGGGAGATGATGGAGTGGTCGCCTGCCGAGCCATTTATATTTGGTCCACTGTTTTGGTCAGTCAAGCGAGACTGGTAACGATCAAGGACCTTAAGTAAGAAAATGAAAATGAAACAAGGTTCAAGCCCCTTTGTATTTCCCTGACCGTCATTACATGCTTGTGTAACGCAGAATGCAGACAACTTAAAAATGATCTCGTAGGCGAATAGATACAGCAGTACAGCAGATACAGCAGTACAGATACAGCAGATACAGCAGTACAGATACAGTACGGGCGGTGTCTTGCATGGAAATCGTTTTAAAGCGAACCCAACTTTCGCATCATCCACATCATGCAGCGTCCGCTACGAATCTTTACCTTGCGACTGTACGACCGGATCGACTAGCATTAGCCTGATCCAGTGAGCAGGGATCCGGTCTCACGACAGACTCCAGAATAGGTGACTACGCAGGTGGGTGACACGTCGTAAATCCGCGCTTAATCGTACCCCACGCTCCCTAATCAGCAACATACACCTGGCCAACCTTTTTATACAAAAGGTATAGGGTTAACGGGACAGATCCCAGGTTCCGCACATGGCCCTGCGTGCAATATGACAGTTTGATCGTTGGTCTCGTTGAGATCCGCCCTGCCCTCTGCAGCAAGATCGTGCAGGGACGGTAAAGAAGGTGCAAATTAGTTTTAATTAATAGTAGACTTGCGATGCATTCAACACATTAGCCTTTCATCCCTCACCCGCCAAACTATGTGTTCAAGAAAACCGAAAGTGCGCTGGGGTGCAGGTGACTGACTCAACGTGAACCATGTATGTGCGTGTGCTACCATATATGCGCGGCATTGATTTTGGGGGCGCAACCTAAATATCGCCTGCTTTGTATCTCAATAGTTACGGTGTCTGACTTCGAAGTAACAGGTCTGGTTACCGATCTTAGGTGTTAGAGGACCTTAGGTTGGTTATGTCAAACCGATTACGGCTATTTTGACAGAAACGACCAGTCCAGTCTCACTTGTATTTGCCAGTAATTTTATTATATTCCCTATGTTTGTTGATAGTGTCGACAAAAAATGTCACTGAACTGACTAGGTAAATTTTGAGAACGATTTTCGGCTCTGAATTTCACAAACAACAGCGATTGCTGCAGGCTTTAGCGTAAGGTGGGGAGAGGCAAATGTCTTCTACGCCATCGCATTTCATCCGAATTAATATTGTTCAGCTAAGTCCAGGTGTTATCGGACGGAAGGTGACATAAGGGTCAGAAACAAACCTATACATTGCCAGGGCAGTTCGTTCTCACGAATAACTCCCGCGCTTTAACGCCGCGGTCACAATTTAAATTTGGAAACATACTGAATAGCGGTACGCAATGGTTTATTCGATGAAAGTACCAAAGTGTAGTATACTCCTTTCATTGTGGTTGATAAGCAGGAGGGCTACGTCATGCTTCAAACAAAAATGACTTTTGCATTCACAGAGTGTATTATTAAAACACGCTTTCTGCCTTCCTGGAACAATCAATCATCAATAATGTCAGCTTCAACAATCAACTTCTACACCTGCCAAGATAGCAGCCTTTGACAAACCCATTCCTATTATGGGCTGTCCCGAAATCGTTCCCAGCCTAATAACATAGTTTTATTTACTAAAGTAATATATACTTCACAATTGACTCTGCAGGAAACTTTCCTTTGACCTTTATCCAAGCCTCAGGGAGTAATCTCTCCAATCAACCAACGGTATTAAGAGCAGGCAGTTTCTCATCAATCACTGTACTAAGAATTTACCATAGATATTCAACTGGATTCAAGTCGACACTATTTGCTTAACCATTTATCTTTTCTCCAGAAACGTGAAATATTAACTGAAAGCAACTTCTGAGTTGTATGACCTGTGGCTCCGTCCTGTATAATAATAATCGTTTACGTGTCCGGAAGAAAATTATTCTCAAATGTTGGCCTGCTCATGCGATAACTTTTCAATCCCTTAAACAAGATCTGCTTTAGGATATTTTCTCTATAATATCACCATTCACCCTGTCGTACAATGTGGAGGTCAGAGGAAATTGTTTGCCAACATCATGACTGTACGGATTAACGTTGGAACCTTTACCTTATCAACCATATTACGACTTGGGGCCCAAAAACGTCAATTCTCCTGTTCGTGGATGGAGAAGTTCCTACGGTGATTGATCAAAGAAGATGGCTTGTTTCCGATCGTCTATTGTTTACCTAGCGAAAACTTTACAGAAAGGCATTCTACCTTCGATTTGTCTTCTGTAACTCTAGAAGTTCCCCCTCTTTGTTGGGCGACAACGCCTAGGTTTCATGCAAATACTCGTGCACACTGGACAAAGAACAGACAATTTCAGTTCCTTTGCCAATTTCCTTGTGTTTTGCCTTGTTTTACCAATGTATTTTGCAATAACGATCTTTTCAATTGTCCAAAATTTGTTTTCGGTCAGAGTCTATTTGCGTTGTGATAGTACCCGTCCGTTTCTACTGTTATTACCAGTACTCAACCGACGTATCGAGTTGGATTGAGCCTACAAATATCAGAAAGAGACTACAGTCGAACACCACGAACCAATGTTAATCGCAGTTACCACCCACCCCGTACCGACGCACATTACAGGTGTCAATTAGCCACTGGGCTATTACGACAACTAATTTTGTCCACCACGGAGTGATGCAAAATGCAGCTGCAAATTAGCGCCCACACTAGATGACTTTATAACTGTACCAATACTTTTTAAATCTTAATTGTTCGTTGCACAGCTTCTCAAGTCTGACGACGACCTGGGTATCCGGTGCTGAAAATATACTGAATAAAAGTTTCCTCATTTTCCCAAAGAACTTGTTTCCTTAAAATTACACATCAATAATTTTAATTAGATTACTACATACCCATCTAGAAATAAAGGGGCTCCCATAATTCAGTATCAATTACCCGAACAAAAAAGCCTATTCCGATTAAAACTTGGAATAGCGCATATATTCAATGCGTACACATGTGAGTTTTGTCGCAAACTTTAACTTTAAAATAGTAAAAATTTGATACAGCCCAAAAGATCTGACGAAAGCAATGACGTAAGCATTTAATCTACCGTCTCCCTAGGGAAGTGGTTCCAGTGGTCCAGTTTCCTTACCGACAAATCGATGTGCAGTCATTTCGGTCCCCTAAACGAGGAAGTAGCACATTACTGAAAAACACAAGGGAGATTCTTGTGGTCATTTCTGGTCTACTAGCCATAATCACTAAGCCATACCCAATTCCAGGTGGTAGAACACGCCAGACTCGAATTCCTGACCTGTTCTTTGGAAGTCCAACGTTCTAGCCCGCTGCGACACGGGTTTCTTGGCTTGCAACAGAGCCTTTTTGCAAACAGCAACTTTAAGTTATGCATGGGCAGAGAACAGATAGGTTTACTTCCAAATTAAGAGGAAAATTTTCCGCCCAAACGAACACTAAAAATATGTCAAGGAGGGCAGGGATCTTCAGAAAATAACGTACGGCGTTTAAGCGATCACGATCCGTGTAAGAGACATTCAAATTGGCCAATTTTGTTATGTTACTATTTAAAAGATCCTTTCCGATTTTCTCCGGGTCGTACGGACCGGAATTCAACGGCTGGTTCGTCTGTTAAAAAAGCACAAATGCACGGGAAGCAACAGTTTTCATGGCAGCTCATAGAGTACATAGCAAAATTCCAGGAATGTTTTGAACTAACAATGAGTAAAACCTTAATTATGATTAACAAGGAACATGCTATGGTATGCTGCCCTATAAACAAAGCTCTGTTAATGCTTGGAGGCACTGCCATCAGAAGACGTATGCGGCGTTACTTATGGAGCCAAATACAAGTGCCGCTAAATAGATTCGATTACTAAAGGCAGGCATAGCAAGGGTGAATTGCTTTCAGTAACTAGCGATCGTTCCTTGTTGAGCAGAGGCCCACGATGGGGCTTTTTTCCCATGCAAATACACGTACTGTGTCCAGTATTTGGGGCCAACCATTTTACAAACACAACTCGACTAACAGCTAACGCTCCCTGGTTCGATGAAGACATTTATCAAAGAGAAAACAAATACCTTATCCAAATGTTCATTTTCTTAACGTCATTAGTTTAGGGACGTGACGCCAACAGTTCAGTAAAGGTATATCCGCGTGCAAAGTCAAACGGCCAGTTGTCAACTACCTTGTTCCACACCACGTAGCGTGTTTCATGAGTTTGGATCACAGAGAGGAGTATTAAACCCACAAACGCACTAACACCGGCTTAGACATAATCGGTTTCACATACTTTCACCAGGTCTGCTGTAAAAGGCCTTGTGTCGAGGATGTAGCCGGCCGGCGCATCGAAAGTCTGCGCTAACGCGTACCCTCACGCTCCTAGGTCAACAGCGTACAGTTTTTAGCACAAAAATAATTGCTGCGGAGCCACAGATTTCAGGTCTTACGACTCGGACCCTCACGCAACTACGACAATTCGATCGTTGGTTTCCTTGAGGTCCACTGTGATCTCTACGGTAGAGTGATGCAGGGTCGGCGAATAACGTGCGAATCAGTTTTAATAAAGCGTAGACTTACGTTGCATTCAGCAGACGACTCCTTCTCTGACCCTCCGAACTCTCAAATGTATGCCTTAGAGGTTGACTATCTTTGCAAGACCGTTACTGATGTTAATAAGTATGATTTTTGACGAGTGTTAAGGCGTCGACGACAGAACATTGCCCGGGAAGAGATTAATTCTGGTGGTTTGGGGTTCTCAACTCCCACAGTCGGGAGCAGTGATGCCTAAAAGACGCGCGAACAGAAAAAACAGTACTTATCTCCCCGTGCGTACCGTTCAGTTGGTCATTGCGAGCATTAGTTGAGTGGCCTTGGAATCTGGTTATGGAAGTGTCCCTTTGCGAATTATTGCTTACGGAGCCCGCATCAGAGGACTGTTGATCGGCACTCTTAAGAAAGGGCAAGAAAATGAATTAACGTTAACGTGTTTGAGTAAGTGATCGCGGCGGGATGCCTTGAGACTCACTGGGCGCGTGAACTGTCCCCAAGTCGGTCTGCGCAAAGTGAACTAGGTTAGTGTGAAGGGTTATTTACTTCATGGTAATCCGCACACAGTAATAAAGATAGCTTGACGGTCTTCCGAAGCGGATAAGCGGACATCGTTTAGCAATATGTGGACAATGCCGCAACCCTGAGCTAATTCACGTCCGACTACGAATGAGAGTATAGATACTTCCATTGGGAGACCAGAATCCCGATTCCAAGTCACATACACGTTGGCAGATAACACACAGCTCAACAAAAATACGGCTTTCGACTAACTGTTAAGGTGTTACTGGAATCACGTCGTGTGCAGGGCAGTTTATACGGACTAAGTAGTGCCACTCAAACTATTCAAACAAATTTAACTTCTTAATGCACTATTTTAGGGTACCCATTGCTGTATTCGCTAATATATTTGCCAATATTGCTACGCAATATGATGGTGGATGGCTCAAGCATAATGTCGCAGAAAAATACTCAGTTTTAAGCCAATAGAACCGTCGATGTATTGCAAAAAAGGATTTCAGGAAATTTTAGTTAATGATTGCAGGTGGTTGATTGTGTAAGGGCGGTTTCTGTATCCTGCTTCAACTCCCATATAATTTTAGTGGGGCTATCTCCGCTTTCTTTGGTCAGTTCAGATATTGTCGGTTTAGAGTGAGCCGATAGCTTTATGAAAAAAAGGTCAAGTCGCACGATCAATGCAGGTGTCAGAAACTTCAAGGTATTCTCAAAATATGTGTGCTTGAAAGTTTGCAATCAAACAATGAATAGATAGTAACCATTGACAGGAATATTAGTGCCTAATCATGTTGCCTTTAGTACCTCTACGCGCAGTCCGGTTAGGAGGTTACAACTACCTTGTCAGTGAAGGATTATCCCGTTACAAATTAAGCCGTGCATTTAAAGGTTCATGTCGCATACATGTGATCATGAAACCCACAAACCTATCAACATCCCAAAGGGTGTTATGCCTAGCTGATGATAGATAATAGGGCCGGAAATAGTTATTCCAGTCTCATTCAGATTATAATTCTAGTCAAGCTTTTGCTATGTCAGACATCATAGGAGTATTTTACTCTTGTTGTGGGAGTGTTGATAAAATTGCGCGACATTTTACGAGTCCTAGAAAAAGTAAACTATGTGTATTCAGTATCCACTGGCTGTGTGCATTAGCGGTCAACACCACGGCCCCCTCCATCCAATGGTAATGCCTCGGCCTGGAGACCGAAGCCCTGGGTACTGGACCGAGACCAAGTTTCAGAATTATTTTAGAAACAAAGCATAAGGCTAAATAGTGTGTTCGACCGCAGTTGTTTTGAAATTCTCTTCCTTATCTAAATTATATTAAGTTTTGCAATACGTCGGAGTTATCAGTCTAGGGATATACATCCTACAAAAGACGTTATTATTAGGCATGACAATATATAAAATCGATATTCCAATTAAGCCAACATGTTTCACTCACCGTTATGTTTCGGAGAATTTGGTCGACATCCAACTTTACCTGACGAAGCTTCCCGCCAATGTCAGTTAGGTCTTGCACAGATTCGGCGGAAGGGTTAGCATCTTGCACAACGTCCATCCAATAAAGATAATCAGCGTTCACTAGCTTACGGACCATGCGCACAAGACTCTGTGTGTCTTTCCATTCCGCCTGAAAAAGGCGACCAATATCAACATATTGGTTGAAAAATTAATTTACTAGCAAAGGGTTACTTACGCAACGCCTCTTTGTTTTAAAAAGAACCTTTTTTTCTTAGAGAGAACCATCCTCAGGTGCAGATTTTAATCAGTTCCAAAAATGTTTTCGGGTTTAATGCAGAAGATGTTTTAGATAAACTTCTTACCCCCGATCACCGTAGCTGTTGACCGGAATTGTTTAAATATTATCTGTCAAAGTT